TAACGGTTACAAGTTATTGTCAATCATCGATGTTAGGAAACTGTAAATCTCCTCCTCATCGACAAATATCTGGAACAACAGCTTTATTACCAATATTACGGAACCAGGACAGGCACCCTTTTTGGTATATAATATTTTTCAAACCCTATAAAAGAAATAACCATTATTTCTTTTTTTTTAAGAGGGGAGGGGTGTAAAGGAGTCAATGTCCGATCGTTATTTTATGTTTTGGGACGTTATTTTTATTTAATTATTTTCTTTTCGGGGTTCTTTTTTTTACGGACAAACTCCTAAGCACCAGTGACCAAAAGAAAAAAAAATAAACTTAGTTTGCATCGGTGCCTGATCCTGGAACGTCATCCTATGTAAATTAAGACAGTGCGGAGCTGCACTGGATGTACAATTAAAAGCGGAACATCCACGACAGAGCGAGAAGGAGCTTCAGGTAACCAGGGTGGTAAACGTCAGTGATAAATTCGAGGAAATTGTATCGTTTGGCTGTACAATATTTATATTTGAGGAGGAGATAAAATTTTTTTTTATTATTAGAAATACGTACAAGTTTTTGATTATTGATTTGGTTATTACTTTACAATTAGATAACTTTTGTTCGGGTCAATTACCCCATTATTATTTTTGTTGTTAATAGAATTAAAGTTTATCTTTATTGTTCAGTATTGTCTGTGGTTTGTGGAAATTATTGGTTTATTTAAAGTCCAGGCCTGGTACTTACCCCATTATTATGTAACCTATTTTTGTTTCCGAAAACGGTGCGTTACAGCATTGTGAATTTGGCTCGGTGGCAGGAAATTCTCGGAAAGGCAGAAATGTAGAAAATAATTACGTCATTGAGTTCGTCAGCAGTTTTTCTGTTTGTAAATATTTCCTACCGGCGAAAACCCGTGAGAAATCTTTTCCCTTCCGTTATTTTTTATTTTTTTTCTAAAAATACAATTTCCAAGAAAAAAAAGTGCGGAGTATTAACTCATCCGCTACACAATTCTTAAAACCGCTACCATTGGCTCAAATACAACCCAACGACCATAAGTTGCCACGCATCATTGGTTACTTTATTTGACTAAAGGCGTGGACGGTAGCTCAATCACCCTTGAGCTAATGCGCGTGCTCGATGAGGCATAATTATCAGTTTCGTCAATAATTTGACTTTTTTTAAAAAATAAATATTGAAGTAGTAGGGCCTCCTCCTAGAACTAATTTTTAAAAAGTTCAAATTTTTCAATTGCAATAAAATTTTCGTAATTCGGGGCCTTTTGATGTTAAACAATTAGAGGGAAGCCCTATAGTAACTCCCAAGTTTAAGATATTTACTTCCATAAGCCTAATGTTTTCCACATTGTTAAGAGATTCCCGGTAATTGAATCACTTTATATCACTCTCCTAGACTTAAATCTTATTCTATGAATAATGAAAAAGAAATAACGTTATGATTAACGTTATACTTCACTAGGCTCGTTGAATCTTTTGCATTCGTAACCTTACGCTTTTAGAAGACCCAGGGGCAGATCTAGGTTTTTCGGGGCCTAGGGCTTATTGAAGTCCAATGGGGGACCCATTTTTTGTTAGATTAAGAATTATTACAATAAACAAATAATAGTCTACTATAAATTATCATTATTATTATATTGTTAATATTAACTATTTTTTACTATACGATAAGTGCTTATTGTTAATGAAAAAGTATTAAGAATTTATAATAATAATTCAATTTTTGTGGGCCCTCGACTCTTGGAGCCCGGGACTTAAGCCCTATTAGTCCCTATGTAGATCTGCCCCTGACTAAACCCCTCTTTAAATCACAGAATTCAAAGTCACAAAGAGTATAATCATTATTATGCTTGTTAATAACGATAAAAATCTGGGGCCTATACCAGGCATAAAGCAACATCTATTAGAGCAACGACCGAACAGGTTACATTTGAAACGAAAACTTTATATATAGTTGCTTAGTGACCCTATTAAATTATATTTCTGAATACGGAGTGAAACGATTTATAAGCACCAAAACAGCGAAGAACTTTCGCTAAATGTAGGCCCTAACAGTTGAAAGGACTAAAGTAAGTCATTTGGCGAAGGCCCTAGAGATCCCACACTCGAAAGATACGCGGAGGGTGGTAAAGGATAAATCAGTAGCCGGTTCGTGACTCGGAAGGACCTCATAAACCGATAGGGCAGGCGGAATAAAAAGGGGCCCACACAAGTTGTTCGGAGCCTCGAGAGCAATGAGAAGCGACAATCGAGACAAAAGACAGATCCTTTTTTCTGGTGGCAAGCGGTTGGTCTCACAACTCCATCAAGGGTCTGGTCTCGCAGATGCCAAATTACACCCTGACTGCTACCGGTGTTGTCGCACGATGTGTCCATCGTGATATTGAGCAGATCCTCATTTTCCTCCAAAAAAAGGCCACCTTTACGAGGCCTTCTTCCTCTTAGAACACGAGTCGGAATCCATTTTATAAAAAAATGACTACTTAATTAAGAAAACTCGTCTTTCTAACCCCCCTTATTCGTATTACAAACCCCGTGTGAGGTCGAAACTTTGTGTATTCTGAACCGAATTTATGCCTTTTATTATTATAACATACGAAAAAATAAATAAAATAAAATTACAGATCCGAATCACTTCTATTTTCCTAAATTAGAAAGTAATTAAAATTAACAAATAAGTTTTTAAAGGAATTTGGCGAATTTTCAGTCTCAGAGACTTTTTAATAAATTAAAAAAATCCCTAATGAAGCTAAAATTTCGCCAAATTCCTTTGTCAAATTTAAATTAATTTTAATTTAAAATTTCATCTGTCATTAATTAATAAATAAATGTCATTAATACGGGAAATAATAGAATTTAAATAGTTTTACTATTTAGGGAAATAGATTTAAAAAGTTTTCTAAATAAATTTATAATTTCCCTATATCCAAGATCATAAAATAAACGTATTCGTGTGAATAAAAAAAAATCTGATGGACTGTCAGTTATTTTAGGGATTTTTTACAGGAATTTCTCATAAAAATCTTTAAATAATTAAAAATGAAACTTTAAAAGTCGTAATTTCTTATTAAAAATTAATTGAAGATTCTCTAAATATTATAAATTAATTAAGAGAAAAATCTCTATAAATAAATCTTATAAATAATATCCCTAGCAATGATTTCCAGGTTATTATTGTTAATTTAGGGATATTTCAGGAAAAAGATATACGGAATATTTATAGGAAAAAATATTAGATAAATTATTTTAAAACTTGTAAAAATGTTTATGCAAAATTTTTTTATTAAATATATTTAATTAATTTGAATTTATGGAATCCAAAATACAGCCAAACCTCTGAAGAAAAAGAAATTACGGTGTTCGGAGGTGAAGGGACTGGACTGTACATCTTGCAAATCTATTTATTTTTACTAAAAATATGGAAAAAAATAAAAATTTGCCTATAAATTTAATGACTTTCAATTCGATGTAAATTGGGGAATTTCCCTAAAAATCCCACTTTACCCGTATATTTTTATGTAATAATTTTTAATGGACAAGTTTAGAGAACAACTACTTTTAATTCTGTTTATACGGCGATTCTCCCCAAATAGACATTCAAAATATTTAAGTTTACACGCATCAATAATTTAGGGAAAACTTTTAGGGATAATATAGGGAAACTTTTTAACAGGAAAAATATTTCCTATAACTTTTCGAAATTATTTAAGTTTATTTACGTATTAATGCAATAATCTTATTGAGAAATTTTAGAGGAAATGGCTACATTTAGTTCGATCTCAATGGGGATTTTTCCCTAAAAATAATCAACTTTTTTATACGTTTTCATATACTCGCAACAATTACAATGAAAAAGTTTGGAGAGTGGAAAAAAAGAGTTTTTGTTTTAACGTAATAAAAATTTGCCTAAAATATCCCGAATTTTACGTAAAAAATAAGGGGGAAAACGGGAAAAAGAAGCTGTCAAAGCAGATTTTTCGGGTGTTCGGAATTAAATTCGATCGTAGCATGTAAAGGAGTCAATGTCCGATCGTTATTTTATGTTTTGGGACGTTATTTTTATTTAATTATTTTCTTTTCGGGGTTCTTTTTTTTTACGGACAAACTCCTAAGCACCAGTGACCAAAAGAAAAAAAAATAAACTTAGTTTGCATCGGTGCCTGATCCTGGAACGTCATCCTATGTAAATTAAGACAGTGCGGAGCTGCACTGGATGTACAATTAAAAGCGGAACATCCACGACAGAGCGAGAAGGAGCTTCAGGTAACCAGGGTGGTAAACGTCAGTGATAAATTCGAGGAAATTGTATCGTTTGGCTGTACAATATTTATATTTGAGGAGGAGATAAAATTTTTTTTTATTATTAGAAATACGTACAAGTTTTTGATTATTGATTTGGTTATTACTTTACAATTAGATAACTTTTGTTCGGGTCAATTACCCCATTATTATTTTTGTTGTTAATAGAATTAAAGTTTATCTTTATTGTTCAGTATTGTCTGTGGTTTGTGGAAATTATTGGTTTATTTAAAGTCCAGGCCTGGTACTTACCCCATTATTATGTAACCTATTTTTGTTTCCGAAAACGGTGCGTTACAGCATTGTGAATTTGGCTCGGTGGCAGGAAATTCTCGGAAAGGCAGAAATGTAGAAAATAATTACGTCATTGAGTTCGTCAGCAGTTTTTCTGTTTGTAAATATTTCCTACCGGCGAAAACCCGTGAGAAATCTTTTCCCTTCCGTTATTTTTTATTTTTTTTCTAAAAATACAATTTCCAAGAAAAAAAAGTGCGGAGTATTAACTCATCCGCTACACAATTCTTAAAACCGCTACCATTGGCTCAAATACAACCCAACGACCATAAGTTGCCACGCATCATTGGTTACTTTATTTGACTAAAGGCGTGGACGGTAGCTCAACTACCAATCGGGTGTTGCGCGTGCTCGATGTATAAGTAGCACGTGGAGTTGTATGATGTCAGTTTCGAGACGACGCCAGCGCTCGTACTGGACGAGGGGTGAAGCTCTTCCGAGGTGATACTTTTTTCGTATTTTTGGGCTATTTTTTAAATTTAAACTAATTTTTTAAATATAAATTAGACTTTACGAATTTCTCGAGAATACTTTTTTGTGCAGTTTGATTTAAATTTTTGCCTGAATTTTTAATTATAGAGATTGCGGACCTCGTCATAGCCTGGTTTTATAAGATTTAAGCCCCTTAAATTAGTTGCGTTGCCCATATACGTGTTCAGAAAGCTTAGTATACAAATTCGGAAATTTTAACCTTGTATGGAGTATATTTGAACGGGTTCAAGTTCACGAGCCTCAAAGTTAAGAACAGTGTGAATTTGTGTTCATGGTTGTGTGAATTAGGACATTGGAAAAGCAAATTAAATATATAAGCTATCTGAGGTCAACTTCTCTTATAAACCAGTAATCAGACGAATTTCTAAATTGTATATTGAGTTTTCCTGGCTCTAAAAATAATTCAAATAATTAAAAAAAATGAAAAGCTCATAGTTTTGATGCTTTTAAAGAGTTTTATTCATTTCAGGAGATGCATAGATGTGTTATAGGGTCTTAGTGAATCACTTTGTGGCTGTAAAAATTATCCAAAAACTAGAATAATCAATGTTTTGGGGATTTTATGCATTTAAATCAGGCTTTAAACTTGTCACAGGGTCTTAATGCAGCATTTTGAGGCTGTTGTATGATTTAGATGATGAAAAAATGTTTTAAATGGATCCAGCAACTTAGACATTTTGCTGTTTTTCCTTTTAAGCCTGAATTAACGTAAAAATTCTAAAAATTTTTGATAAAATAGATTTTATTTGTATAAAACCTGGAAAATCTCAACTGTCCTAAAATTATTTAGCATTTTTCAATATTTTAAATGCTAAATTAGAAAATATCGGTGTAAAGACATAAAAGAATCTTGCAAATTTACTAGAACTTCGTACTTTCTTCTTTCACGTCTCGTGCCAGATCTTTGCACAATAATCATTTAATTGTTGCCAGCGAAGATAAAAAGAGTTGCATAAAAATCAGCAAATTATGCAATGTTTTAGGTCACTTCAGTCGATTCTGAAATATAGGGCCTAGAACATGTAGGCCTCTATGGGTTCTAAATATTATATAGACTAGAAATATTTTATAAGGGATAGAATGTGTAGATTTCTATGAAAATAAAGAAAATATCTATTACCAGGCTCCATAAGGTAACTGCATTTAACGATGCAAATTAAAAACTCGGAACCTCATATCTGAATGTACAGAAGGCCCTAAATTTGAATAAGCCTTCTGACTATCTAAACTATGTCGAGGTGTATGCAAATTATTAAAAATATCAAAAATCGTGCATAATTTAATTATTTCGCTTTTAAAAATAGTCAAAACGTCCAAAAAATATACAAATTTTTATATTTATTCCCTAAAGTTTCCGAAAAACATCTTAAATATCTTCGTAATTTCTCCTGAAGTTTGTACAGTACATTCTGCCCACACGACTTAGAAATTCGGAACAAGTTCTTATATTTAAAGGTTCAAAAGGTTCTAAGATTTAGAGTCTTGTGTATATCCTTTAACTTCAAAATTTAAAAAAGTTATTAAATTCGAAATATTTGATTATTACTATTATAACAGTAAGTAAACTTTGCACAGGTGCAGATATCAAGGGAAATCCGTAGTCACTAGGGCATAGATACGTGTTATTGCACTATTACGAATCATATTATTGCACAACGGTACTTGTGATTCAATATTTTATCTAAAATTAGCTTAAAATTTATTTTCAGAAAGGAGAAAATCGGCCTGAAAGTTACAGCTTTCATGAGTGAGATGCCCATATCAAAAGGTGAGTTGGTGCGATTATTCTTTGTTGCAAATTCCTGCTTTTTGCTCTTGCACAACTTTCTTCACACCTATTCTGTTTTATTTTTCGTTTTTTCTGATAAAGTTCGGAGCGTGGGTGTCGGGAAGAAGTGAAAAGTGTCTGTGTAAACCACCCGATATCTGCTCTTACCTTTATCTTCAACCTTCACATATCCTGCTGCCTATCGGGGAGATAAGATTTGCTTACCTTTTTTTTTGTGTGTGTGTATTTTGCTCATTCTAAACAGGTGAGATCATTTTTTCTCTCTCATTTATGCTCATTTCTAACCTACATTTAGTCCTTCGTAAACCCTGTACAACTTCTTCATTGGCGGTGTTATAACGTATAACGAGGCTCTTCTTCCTTCTAAGAGGCCCTAAAGCGTCAAGTTGTTTGCTTCATATGTCAATCCGTCTTTTATTAGATCTCATTCTGTATATTTCCTAACAATGCTTCGCCCTTTAACATACGATGTGTCTAAAGAAGGTCCTAAAACTATGAAGTTTTAAGTTTTAACTAGTAAGTTTTTGGCCTTCGTTTAAGGAAAACGTGTAAAATTAATCTAAATAAGTGTGCTCTGTAGTTAAAATTACTTAGGCCTACTTTCGGTTCAGTTACAACTAAGGTAAATTTATATCTTTCATAAGCATGGTAAGGTTCTAATCAAGCTTAACTCTAGGGCCGTTTTCGCATAAAATAAAGCTTTAAATGTTCATAAATTAGGGCCTCGGGGAGTGAAACACATTCTTTATATTCAGCATTATAATTCAGTTTGGTTTGTATCAGAAAATACTGTAAGTAACGGGTTACGTGATTATTAAATTTGGCAATAGTGTTTACTAAACTAATTGGAATCTACAGGTACTGTACAGTACAAGGATCCTTTCTGACATTTATATCCTTAATAAAATTTATGGAAGTTGCAAATTTTACGAATATTTTCCTCTTTCGTAAAGAAAACTAGCTTAACTAAGGGCCTAGAATGTGGTAAATCGTCAGCGATGTTGCAAGGCCATCTGCCTTGTGTTCCTAATTTTCAAATCTCAATTTTCGGTCGTTGTAAGCGGGAAGTAACAACGAATTTGAGGCCCTTTTCATTATCGGACTGCGCTTCTCTTGTTACTGGTGATTTATAGAAGGGCGGAGTAGTTTACAGCTTCGGATGAGGGCTGCGATTTTTCAATTTGTAGGCCTAGTTCTAGAGAAATATAAATGAATTTTCGGGGCCGTTACCGTTACCGTAATAACCTGGATCGTGATGCCTAGGGTGGGGAGCCACGAGGGAGAGTGGACCACGTTTGTGATTGTTTCGAGAAAAGGAGGGGAAAAAAAGAAAGGACACTTATGTCTTTCTGGTAGCTTCTGTTCGTAAGAAGGATTATCTCTATTATGTGAGGCGGAAGGCCCAAACGGTTAAGGCCTCTAAATAGAGGGTAAGACTGCACCCAATTGGAAGGAGTGGGAGGTGCAGCAGGAATTAGGTGTGGCTAGATGATGTCTGGTTAATAACCTAATGGCATGGCCGGTGAGGCCCAGACGGGGGTTAATTTCTAGCTGTTCTATTCTTCCAGTGAGCTTCTTGTGCGTGTGCATGGAATGCACAGTCAGGTTTGTCTATAAATTATAATTCTATGCTACTTTAGTAACAACGGTGTAGCTATCGTTTCGGGTGTTACGCACGCTGTGTATACGGTAAACTATTGAGGGCATTACTGCTATACTAGCACGAAGCCGGTGAGTAGTAGACTTCGTACTAGTTGCGTGCACCTGGTAGCATTTTCAAGCTTAAATTGCTCGGCACCATCCCTCTAGGTAATGAGATGTTAACAAACTAGCATTTTTTTCCTCTGTCGTGTATGAATATTAACATGGCAGATTATTGTTTGGGAAGTATTTAAATTCAGTTAAATTTTAATTTAATACTATAATAACATCAATATTAATGCTATAGTCGGGTTTTAATAAAAGACGAGTCGTATCAGTTAATCAGTTTTGTTAACCCGTTTTGATATGTTTATTACTAAAGTAGTAAGTAACGGAGCATGTTGTTGATTAGATACAGGCTAGATTAAAGTGTAACTGCTTGCTACAGCAGTAAAAGTAATTTTTCATGTAATTATGCCACTTTATTCAGCTGTTTAGGCATTTTTCTGGCTGTTACTATAACAGTAAAACAGGACTTCACAAGCTGAGTGGTGTGCTGTACATTATCCAAGTATATTGTTTTTATTACTGTATCAGCATCAGTTGAGCATCTCTCAGCATTCCTATGAAATGATCATCTCTTGTTACAACCGTAGCATCCGGGAGAGAGTCAGAAGAGCCGCAGAAGGGTCGCGAACCGATACTTTCATAACACCTCCTGCCCTTCTGCCAGGGAGTTCGTTTGCGCTTCCCTCCGATCGCTATTACACGAGGATCAAAATGTCGCACGTGCAATGCAGCACTTCAACGTTGGCCGGAGGGCCTCCTAGGTCAAAGGTAACGACACGGGGGCGTCTCGGCCGCATGCGACCACGCCAAATCGTGATCGGCCTTACCCTCCTCCTGCAGCGTGATCCGTTAATGACCACGTGACATACCTGGTCCCCTCACGTGCCACAGATTATTCGAAAACCCTCCAGGGCCCTTTACATATTTAAGATACATTCCCGGATTTTCTAAGAATGGAGAGTTGAAGTAAGCTTATCTTGAATAGTTTGGGACTTTCGAATGAAAAACATCGAGTCGCGGGGATGAGCGAATTGTAATAGAATAGTTCATTTAAAATTTACTTGTTTGCGCCTTTTTTTGCTCTGCTTTTCCAAGCGATAAATTAGACTTTTTTCTTTAATAAGTCTTAAAAATTAGCCATAATTGTTCCTTAAACAAAAGAACAAGTTGAATGCTTCTTCGACAGTTTACCTTAGACTTTCCCCCTCGAAACTTAAGTGTAAAGGACCTTAGTGGTCTGTACACATTTGGCACATTAAGCAACCTTAAAAGTATTTATTTCACAATTCATAATTTTTTTACCTTTAAGACTATTTAAAACCAAGAAAAACCTATTCCAGTGTATAATGTACTCCGAAAGCCATTCTTGAAAGTCCTTTAACGTACGATCGATCTTCAGGCCTTCCGAGAGAATCGAGCAGCCTTGAACGGTGTAAAATATAGCGTTTTTGTTGTTGGGAAGGCCTGAATGAAATCTGAAAGCATGCCTACGATATACTCTGCATATTTTAATATAAATATGAGAATGTGTCGGTGAGAGCAACGTGACACTCGAGAGTAAGATTGTTAATGAAAGGTCCTTCCACGCTCGGTTGACATCCGAGCTTCACTTCTCCTCATTAACTTCTGCTTTTATTAATTTCGGTTGCAGGTGTTGCTAGAATTGATACTCTTCGGATTAACTATAGTAATTGGTTGTACACAAGGGTAGCCTTGGATGGACTGATATAACCGGGTGTCCCTGGATGATGTTATTAAATATTTTAAACCTTTTGTAGGTGTCCTTCGTGTCTAAATTATCCTACATTTTTAAATATGAATTCCTCTTTACATAAGCGAGACGTTTGTTAACACCCGTAACTATATTGTATAAGGTAGTAAAAGGTGTAAAAAACTACGTGAATGCCATTAAAGTACCCACTCTCTATTCATAAATGCCACGCCATTTTAAGTTAAACACCGATTATACACGTAGGTCTACTTTTTGTGGTCCTATAAAATTGAGTTTTGATTTTTTAAATTAAAAACTGGCTATTTTTAATTACCAAAGCGCTGTCTATGATTAAAGAACTAAAATAACCATTTGAAACTGATTGTGATGTCACAATCAGTTTCAAATGGTTTTCATCTCTGTTTAATATCTTGTCATTTTTTTAGTCACGTTACTCTTTCATTGTGAAAATCTCAAGCAAAGTATAAAAGAAATTTTATTTAGCTATTTTCCCACTGATACATCACTTTAGTTCTATACTTTCTTATTTTCTTCGTATGCATTTATTGATATCGACGAATACTCCTTACAAATACCTTTAACCTAAAAAAACATACAGATTAGTATGCTTACACTGTAGATTTGTATGACTAGATGTAACAATGCTCACAATTGGAAACATGGTGTTATAAGCAAAAATATGGCATACTTGGCAAGTTATAAGCATTCATAAGATCCAAAAGTAGACTCGTGTCTGTTATGATATTAAATTACTAACTTTATCACATATTGGCTCTTTCTGACATTTTTGCATACAAAAATAATGATTGTACGAATATGTAGAAGCTTACAGGCACGACTAACATAGCTACACTCAGCTTTTATAGTTTAAAATACTTAAAAATTATAAGAATTGAAGTGTAGAATTGTACACACGTAAATCTATAGAATGCTCGAGTACGAGAGATAAAACAAAATCGATTATGTGAATTTTTACCGTTTAAATAGTTTAAAAGTATGTTAAAATAGCCTCTAGATCCACATTAGAACGTATGCTTCTTATTGTAGCGTACATACACATCTCAAGATATTGTTTGTAGGATTTTCTTGCGCTGCGTGTTTTGTAGTAAACCTATAAGTTTGCTACGAGATGTCTTTGATAAAAACTTGTGGTCCTTATAGACATTCTATGATGAAAACCTAGACTATATAGGTAATATAATCTTACAGGCATTTACTATCTTTTCTTAATAAAGGTTTATCAAGATGATAGAATGCTTTCCACGATTATTATTTTTAGTCCTTCTACTGCATCGAAATTCTTACAAGTTAGATGCTAATATGGATGCAAAATACTCTAATACATTGTCACCTTCTATATTTAGTGATGTCTGTTACGATTACGGATCATTCAAATTAGGCCTATTTAAAGAAGACGGTAAGAATTGTTTAATATGCCATAATTTGGACTCTTTAAGGCAATGTTTGGGTGGCGTCGCAGTCGGCACTGGATTTACTAATTGAGGAAACTGGAGATGGGGTATTAAGATGTAAGACGGAAGTCGCACGAGACTTGGGACTGTTTATCGCATTGCATACGCGACTACCGTGATGCGTGGGGGAGAGAAAAAACCCTTTCGCAGCCCAGCATCTCTTCTTCTGTGTTTTCGATACGAGAGGACTCAAATGCTAAAGAAGACGCAAAAGGTTAGCGACCCGACGCCGCTCGCTTGCCAAAAGCCACTAATTAAGAGAGGAGGGGCCATTTTGCAGCTAACTGGTTATGCCTACTGTGCCCGCCTCTGGGATGGGCGGGCCTCCTAGTAGCGACACCTGCTCGAGCGTATTCGGTCAGGTGATTGTGTCACGTGATTCACACGACACGGCATCCCAGAACTTCTTACGTTTTGCATCCGAGTGACCGTGCGGAGGTGAGTAGCGGCTTTCTACTCTTTTTTTTGTTGCACACTTGGCG